GGAACTTCACTGAGGCAAGGCCCCTGAGTTGTTGCTTTTTTTTTGAGACAGGGTCTCACTCTGTTGCCCAGGCTAGAGTACAGTGGTACAATCGTAGCTTATTGCAGCCTCGAATTCCTGGGCTCAAGGAATTCTCCTGCCTCTGCGTCCCAAGTAACTGGAATCACAAGGGCACACCACCATGCCCATCTATTTTATTTTTTACTTTTTTTTGGTAGAAATTGGGTCTTTGTGTCCCTGTAATCCCAGCTACCTGGTAGGCTGAGGCAGAATTGCTCAAACCAGGACCCAGGAGGCGGAGGTTGCAGTGAGCTGAGATCCCACCACTGCATTCCAGCCTGGGCTACAGAGCTAGACTCCATCTCAAAAAAAAAAAAAAAAAAGAAAGAAAGAAAAGAAATGATGTGGTCTTGCTATGTTTCCCAGGCTGGTCTTGAACTCCTGGCCTCAAGTGATACTCCCATCTCAGTCTCCCAAAATTCTGGCATTACAGGTGTGAGCCACTATGCCTGGCCTACTTTTGTCAGATTTATTTTCCATCCTCTGACACACAAATGTCTTACCAGTCATTTAGAGTTTCTACTTCTTGCTCACTGGGTCTAGTCAGAATGATGCTCTCAATGCAATGGACCCTTGTGCTGTCCTGTGGAAGGAAAAGGCAATCAAGATCTGTGAGAACGACATGATGACGTGGGCTGGAGCATCAATAGACCCCTGAGGGAAAGCACCAAAGGTGGAGGTTGGGCACCGAGGTTGGAGGGTTGCTGGCCTTGCCAGCTGAAAGCAAACTGCTTCTGGTGAGTCTCATTCACAGGAATGGAGAAAAACGAACTTATCAGTTCAATACCTGCATACCAGTACCAGGGGATATATTAATTTGCTCAAACAATTACCACATTTGGTACAGCAGCTGCCATGGAATGGAAGTGATTCTTGGGTTAAGCTTACGAGAGTCCACTGTCATTCTCCAAGATCCATCAGCCTGCACGGGCCAAATAGTTGAGTTGAAAGAGAATGTGGCAGATTCAGTATATAGGAGTCACCAGCCCTGTGTTTTTCAAGTCACTGATGGTGTCATTTATCTCTCAGATCCCTTGGGAATGTAGCTTTGCTTTTGGTTTACTATTTTCCTAGGTAGAGGCCATTATAGAGGCTCCATTTGGCTTTCCTAACCATAACAGTCCTCACTCTATAGGAACCCATGGTGGGGAAGCTGCCAGGCTGCTAAGCATGTCTGTTCTGATGATGCAGTTGCAAACTGGTGCAGTGACCACAAGGCGGGCTTGCCCACCATGAGACAAGCCTGAGCTCAAACTCCATTGGTCACCTGACATTCATAAGCCACTATTTTGTCATTTTGGGTCAGTTCAGAGCCCAGCAGTCCCCAAACTATCTGATTGTTTCCTTTCCCCCAGTGCACACTTTCCCTGGTAAAAGGCCATAGGTCTCTTTGGGGAAGGCAGGAAGAAAGGCTAACTGTATAGATTTTTGGCAATGTACCAGGGTCCTGCTTCAAGGGGACTTGGACTCTGCTAGGGCCTGAATGTTGGTTTCTCCCCAGATATATATGTTGAAACCGAACCTGAAGTGCCACAGTATTAAGAGATGGAGCCTGCTGGAGGTGACTGAGACATGGGGGCTCTGTCTTCATGAGTAGGATTAGTGCCCCTATAAAAGAGGTTGAAACAGCTGACTTGCCCTTTCTGCCATGTGAGAACACAACAAGAAGCAGAAGGTGAGCCTTCACCAAGCACGGAAGCTGCTGGTACCTTGATCTCAGATTTTCCAGCCTCCAGAACTGTGAGAAGAAAATTTCTGTTTTGTATAAATTACCTTGTGTAAGGTCTGAGTGGACTAAGATAGTCTCCCCTTCATTCAAGAGGTTCTGGGTCTGCAAAGTGGTTCAATTCCAGGAATTGGTTGAGAAGCCACGACTCTGTTTCCATTACTCAGGTTAGATCTTTGATCACTCAACCTAGAGCTTTTCTGTTTATACAGATCCAGAAAGGATTTACAGGCTTCCTATGTTTCACTTCTAGGGCCACTATGATCAACTAGGAAATGCCATAGGTCTACATAAGTCATAACATTCTCTCTGCTGCTTTGACTCTACTGTCCATCGCAGTAACCACACTCGTCTTTGGTGATTGAGTACTGCCACTTGCTCCTGACAACCTGGGATCCAATTACTTCCATTTCAATCAGGTTTTCTCATTCAGTAAATGAGTTCCCATTGTAAGGTCTGGCCTACAGAGAAAAGTTATCACAACAGAACTCTTCAAAGATGCTGGAGCTTCCCTCACAAATTTATTTCTCACAGTCATGGTAAAAGGTTATGTCCTCTGGGCCCTCCCAGTGTGGGTGAGTGGTTTTTAAATGACAAATCCAGGCTGGATGTGGTGGCTCACACCTATAATCTCAGCACTTTGGGAGGCCAAGACACATGATCCCTTGAGCCCAGGAGTTTGAGACCAGCCTGGGCTACAAAAAATATATCTTTTTAATTAGCCAGGTATGATGGCAAATGCCTGTAGTCCCAGCTACTGAGGAGGCTAAGGTAGAAGAACCATTTGGGTGCAGGAGGTCGAGGATGCAGTGAGCTGTGATCATGTCACTGCACTCCAGCCTGGATCTACAATATATATATATCCAGTAGTCTAACATTCCAGTTTCCTTTAGCTTTTGAATCCCTTCCTTTGCATTAAATTAAGGAAGTCCCAGCATTTCCAACTCCCTCATTGTGGGCAACCTTTCAGTCAATGTTTCAGCCAACCACCAAACAAACTATTAGAGCTCTTTCTAACTCCCTCAAGCTGCAACATTAATTGCAGAATCTCTCCTTAGTGAGCATAAGCTTGTCCTGATCTGACTTTATGTTTCTTCCACCATTATCCCACACTCTTAATATGTATTCCCACACACATCCCCTGGATTTCCATCTGTGTAAATTATGATACTCAAATAGTTCTTTTGAATTGTAGTGTACTTCCTTGTATACTTTCTTGTGGGTCACACTTGTACCTGAAATAAAATGGTTAACAGGGAATTTACTTTAAAAAATGACTATCATAGTTTTCATAACCTAGATAAAATATTAAATAATCTTATAAATGTAGTGGAATAAATGTAAACAGACATGTCATATGATTCGGTATATAAGGTTATTAACAGATATTAAGTAGCTGGGTAATTTCCAACTTAAAAAATGTAGGAAAACACTTTTTAAATTTTCTTATTAGAAGGTAAATTATCTTTGCCTAATTCAAACCTTCTATAAAAGTTATGTATAAAATGAGGTAAAAGGAACCAGGAAATAGAAGATGCAAAGAAAGTTAAAGATATATAGAGGTATTTTTGATGAAGAAGGTGAAAAAATAGCAATTTTATATAAGAAGGAATTTTGTGTGGTATTTTGCCCTAAAATAAAATGACCAGTTTGTTTAAGAAAGAGAATATTTAGGCAAAACAGAAAGTCTAAGCATGTTGTGAATCATCTATGTAAATTGTAATAAGATTAGTTAATAGAAACTTTTTTTTTTTTTTAAGAAAACGAGGTGGTATAATTTAGTTGGACATGAGTAAAAAGAAAATCATAATAGTCTGTCCAGAGGTGGGTCTTTTATATTAACAAAATTACACGAATACAAACAATAATTGGTTAAAACAAGATTTAAAATATTTATTTATGTTTGAGACAGAGTCTCACTCTTGCACCCTGGAGTGCACATTATATAGGCGACAACTCAGGAAAACCAAATGGAAAAAAATTGTAGAGGACAAAGTAAAGTGGGGAAAAACAGGGTGGGTAGTCAATCTCGGTAAACAGCCATGGGTAAGAACTCTCCATTTTTTGTGTTCTGCAGAAGCAGATTACAGCAAATAAATACGCTTTTCATTGTGACTTAGATGATCCTTCCTCTTTTAGATATCACAAATGCACAAACTCTCTAAATTTTCATTTTTCTTTTATAGACGATTAATTTTGTCTTCCGTGTTCAGAACAAAATACTTGTTAAATACACTGCTTTTCTCTCCTTTCCCCAGGCTCCCGGACTCTGCTCTGCCTTCAGTCTGAGCCAACATACAAACCCCGTTTATGCCCCTTCGAAGAACAGGCTGACTTTTGGGTGAAACATTCCCTAAGCCTGAATCTGATTTTGCCATTCTCCACTCTTCCTCCCACCTTCCTTCTAATCTTGTTTCCTCCTCCATAAAAACCACAGCATTTTTCTCCCTCTTTTGAGATGCTTGCAGATCTGATGCTTGGTGCTTTCCCCATTGCAATACTCCTTTAGAATTGTCACGTCTTACCTACATCTGAATTTATTAGAAAATATCTAGAAACAGCCTCAGGACAGTAACAATCACACCCTCACAGAGGACATCACAACCCACCTCCCATCTCAACTCTCAACACGTCTGCCTGTGCATTCCCAGCCTTCCAGGGCTCTGCAGCTTCTCTCAGTATACAGGCCCCTTCTATGGCTGCTGTGAGCAGGCTGGGACACCTGCAGGGGGGGATCCCCAGGAAGAAAAGACTGTGCTATTCATGAACACCTCTGACATGTGTTAATAGTAATACTGCATTGATTTCAAATGCATATGCAGCAATTTGGGGCGAAAGAAAAAATATTAAAAAAAAAAACTGAAAAGTTATCTTTAAAATCTAAAAAATTTAAACTATTGTTTTAAAACCCTTACATAGGCCAGGCGTACCTGTAAATCCCAGCTACTTAAAATAAAAAAATTAATTAAGGAGAGCAGCTGAGGCAGGAGAATGGCTTGAGAATGCAGTGAGCCGAGATCGAGCCACTGCACTCCAGCCTGGCAACAGAGTGAGACTCATCTCAAATCAAACAAAAAAAAAGGCCTTACATAATTCACAGCTATCAGTGCACACACTAAGCTAGTATCTGTGCGTGGACAGAAGGAGCCTTCACTTTGGAGTAGTTTCTATAACTCTGTTTACATGAAAAGGGACACAAGAGTGTAAGACTGTGTTGTTGCCCTGACAAGGTCCCATTCTTTTCTAGGATGTGCAATCTTAGTTGTCCTTGAGTTAACTGGAATTGAGGTGTTTCTTCTTTTGAAAACACTAGCTTTACTAGTTCTTTAGCAGGAGAGGTGGTATTTTCCTGTCTTTTTTGATGAGGGGTTCAGATGTTACATTACCCCTCATTTCTTCCTTCAGGAGAGGATGGCCTTAGAGCGCTGAAGATGAATCAAATCATCAGCACTCAAAGACCTTTTCTGGCCAGCAGTAGAGAAGACTTCATCTTGTTCCATCCTTGAAAAAGCCTAAGAGTGTCAAATAGAAAAAAGGTACAATTATAAAAGGGTTCCAACCTTATAACTATCACCATTGATGATAAGCCACACATGCAGACTTCTTTAGATAGTTCAGCTACAGCTACTGAGGCTGAGGGTTACACTGCCAACTTCTGGCAGCTCACTAAGGTAATTCTCCTTTCAGGGCTAGAATTAGATTGCCGGAGCAAAGGGGAGCTTGCTTTATTAAGTTACTTAAAAATTGGGCTCCCAAAAATGCCACAGTATCATCTGTTACCTATGCACTTGTTCCTTAAACATAATGAATGCACACTTTTGCAAAAAGTCAGTTTACTAATCTAATCAAATTCTACCTGATCTATGAGTTATTATACACTCAAAGCAAATTTTAACGAAGCAGGCATGTGCTGGGTTGTACTGAAATGTAAGCGAAATCTAACGACTAAAACATCAAAAGGCATTACTTCATTTGCACTAATTACGGTAGAAAAATGTATTCTTTTAAAACACTTCCACGATGCCATAGAACATGTATATTTTAAATGTTCATCCTTGTCAGCTGTAATTTTGCTGTGTACTTAGTAAAAGTCACAAACCATAAATATTACTTTGTCCCACAAAAGTTATCATTTCCAGTAAAATCCCATGTACTTCCTGCATCCAGTCCTTGAGACACGCACACCTCATTCAGTCTAAGTGCAGGCCTCTCGGCTTAGGCAGTAATGGTTTGTCTGACAAACCCATGGGACTGACTGCACTGTGGTACACACTGTGTGGTACACACATGGGACTGACTGCACTGTGGTATAAATGACATAAATTTGCAAACCGAGTAATAAAAAGTAGTCAAGAGTGTATTATGTATGTATACATCATTAGAAATACAATGGCAATTGTGAATGGCAGTTCATTCTTGATTTGGCTCTCTTTAAGTCTGTTTTGGTGTAAAGGAATGCTTGATTTTTGCACATTGATTTTGTATCCTGACACTTGCTGAAGTTGCTTATCAGTTTCAGGAGATTCTGGTCTGAGACGATGGGGTCTTCTAAACATACAATCATGTTGTCTGCAAATAGAGACAATTTGACTTCCTCCTTTCCTAATTGAATACGCTTTATTTCTTTTTCTTGCCTGATTGCTCTGGCTAGAATTTCCAATACTATATTGAATAAGAATGGTGAGAGAGGGCATCCTTGTCTAGTGCCAGATTTCAAAGGGAATGCTGCTAATTTTTGCCCATTCAGTATGATATTGGCTGTGGGATTGCCATAAATAGCTTTTATTATTTTGAGGTACATTCCATCAATACCTAGTTTATTCAGAGTTTTTAGCATAAAGGGTCATTGAATTTTGTCTAAGGCCTTCTCTGCATCTATTGAGATAATCATGTGGTTTTTGTGTTGGTTCTGTTTATGTGGTGAATTATGTTTATAGACTTGTGTACGTTCAATCAGCCTTACATCCCTGGGATGAAGCCTACTTGATGAGTTCGTGTCCTTTGTAGGGACATGGATGAACCTGGAAACCATCAATCTCAGCAAACTGACACAAGAACAGAAAATCAAACACCACATGTTCTCACTCATAGGCAGGTGTTGAACAATGAGAACACATGGACACAGGGAGGGAAGCATTACACACAGAGGTCTGTCGGGGGGGGAACCAGGAGACGGACAGCAGGGGTTGGGGAGTTGAGGAGGGATAACATGGGGAGAAATGCCAGATACAGGTGATGGGGAAGAAGGCAGCAAATCACACTGCCATGTATGTACCTATGCAACAATACTGCATGTTCTTCACATGTACCCCAAAACCTAAAATGCAATAAAATTAAAAAAAATAAAGATAATAATAAATTAAAAAATAGAAACACAATGGCAAGAAACCATTTATGTATGATTATTTGCAAGGGCAAAGGTTCAAAAGGTTCAAATTCATTAAGAATGATTTAAATTTTGATTAAAACATTGTGAATTATGGTCACAGAAGAGATAATATCTATAATTTTCAAATAATGTGAATCTTTACAAAAACCATAAAAGACACAGGAAATAGAATGCTAAAAGGTTAATAAGCCCTTCAATATGTTAATTTTGAAGCTTTCCATTTTTCTAATCATTACTTAATATGACCTAGTCACAGATGTTGGCATTGGTGTTTGACTGAAAACCCACTTAGTAACTTCATAACCTTACCTGCAGCTCCCATGCTTTTTCTCTCTCAAGAAGGTAAACAGGCAAATACAGGCCATGCCTGTGTGCCAAGGTACGAAGATAGAAGTAGTATCTGGTATAAACCTTTCCAGGAATGATGAAATTATAATTAATTAGCTCCACGAAGTACCCTTCTAACTCATTCCTGGGGAAGGAGAAACAACAAAACCAACACAGGACAATGTGAGTTCACTGGGCTGTCTTCAAAAACATTATTCTCATGTAAGAAATGTGTAAAGCCATCATGTGCTCTAGTTTATTAGAATTCATGAAATAACGCACACTGGACAGAACCCTATCAAGCAAAGAAATAACAAGAAAGCATGCAACGTTCCCAGTTCTCTTTGAAAACTTAGAAATAACTTGTACCAGAAAAGAAACATGAATGTAAAAATGTGTTAATAAACTTCCTTTTTCCACATACTTTCAAAGACATATTCACGTTTACTATGGAGAAAAATGACATAATCTTAAGAAACATGGTAAAGCCTTCAGTTTTTTCATTTCTTCAAAAACATGAAAGGATTCAATGGAGAAAATCCTTATAAATACAGACATGTGGTAAGGTCTTCAGTTGTTCTACTTCCACATGAGGATAAGAACTCATTTCTGAAATAAACCCTATGAATGAATAGAATGTAGAAATGCCTTTATTTACATGATATTTGCTTCAAGACCCATGATAACACACACTGTAGATAGACCTCATAAATATAAGAAAGCACATTGGATTGGAATCCCAGTAGATTACCAAATACAGGAAAGTTTTCAGTTTTAAGAATTTCTTCAACATTTGTGTGAAAACTTTCCCTAGAGGGAAATCCTATTAATGTTCATAACTTAGAAAGCCTGAGCAAATCGATTCTTGTATAATCTTTAAAAATGTACATAAGTAAATGTTATACTACTTATATTTTGTTTCTCAATGGTTCTTCATTTGAAAGTGTTTCTGTACTTCCACTTCTTTTGCAAGAAAACCTTGAGGTTACAATTTTGTAGATACTCTTTAAACAATACCTTATGCATTTAAACAATACCTTATGCATTTCTGTTAAGTCAGTTAATAAAATTTCTCAATTTATTTAAAAATGTCATACTGAGCTACTAGAACCATTCCAAATTCTATTTTGAAACGAATACATCCTATGCAGGTGGGTTCCATCGCTAATGTCCAAACAGGGCACAGCTGCTTGCAGTCCGTTCTGCACTCAGCACCCTAAGTTTGGGATGAGGAGAAAGGTGACAGCCTCCTCTGCACTTGTGCAGCTGACTTGGGCTCATTCTTGAGGGTTCCATTGCACAACTCAGACTTCGTGCTCGCTCCCCAGGCACTGCAATAGTGATCAGATGACAGAAATGATGGATGCCATTTATTAGCTGTCACTATTAAGGGGCAGGAATATTCTTTCAACTTCAAATGGTAGAAAGATCAGAGAGACACACCTTGGCTAGACTAAACCCATTTTAAAAGATGCCTTCTGGTAGGGTGCTGGCCTTACAGTGTTTCTCCTCAGTTGAATTAGAAATGAAACCCCAAGTGCTCAGCATCTGTCACCCCTGGCCAGAACAGACTGTGGGGATGAGTTGAATGCACTGAGAGGGGAAGAGGCTGGGAGCAGCCCTCTGCCACATGATTATTCAGCTGTCCTGGCCAAAGGTTTTGTTTTTGTTTTTTGTGACAGGGTCTTGCTCTGTCACACAGGCTAATGTGCAGTGGCATGATCCTAGCTCACAGCAGACTCAACCTCCCAGGCTCAAGTGAACTATTCACCTAAGCCTTTCAAGGCTTGGAACTACAGGCTCATGCCACTTAGCTGGGCTTTTTAAAATTATTTTTGTGGAGACAGGGTCTCACTTTTTGCCCAGGCTGGTGTTAAACTCCTGTGATCAAGTGGATACTACCACCTTGGCCTCCCAAAGTGCTGGTATTACAGACATGAGCCACTGTATCCAGCACTCAGTCAAATGTTTAAATAAATACAAAACCAGAGTAATCTTACCACTCCCATAGTAATCCCTATAAAGAATTGTATAAAAGCAATACCTCAACAACACATTTGGTTCCTTGGTATTAAAGTTTCAATGTTTTATCCACTGGCTAAATCAACAAATGCTTGAAGTTTTTCACTATGGAAAGCAGGATATAAGCAGATATGTGATTTTCTCATTTGTTTAACTGAAAACCCAGTTGAAACTACTTCCAACATTAATTTCCTATTCATATAACCACAAGGCTATGGGACTGTAAATCAGATGTTTGAATAATCAGCCAATCAGGACTTAATTTACTATATGAATATATGTATGTCATAACCTCTTTTGTGTTTTTCCATAAACATATTTTAACTGTGTAAAATACGGTATTTTATATGTTTATTAATAGTAGTTATTGAAAAAAAAACAACAACAATTATCCCTACAGGATATGTATCTTCTTAGTATTTGTCGGTTTTTTAATTGCTTAATAGCATACCCTTTACAAGCACAGCAAATTTTCTGAATAGGAGCTTCTCAGTTTAACTTACATGTATATGTGTGTGTGTATATATATAAGTTGTTTATCAATAATGTTTTAAAGTTTTATTTCAATAGTTTTGAGGTACAGGTGGTTTTGGTTACACGTATAATTTTTTTACGGGTGACATCGGAGCTTCTGGTTTACCTACCACTTGAGCAGTGTACTCTGTACCCAATATGTAATCTTTTATCCATCACCCCTCCCATCCTTCCTCTCATAGTCCCCAAAGGCCATTGTATCATTCTTATGCCTTTGGATCCTCATGGCTTAGCTCCTACCTATAAGTGAGAACATATTGTATTTGTTTTTCCATTCCTGAGTTACTTCACTTAGAATAATGGCCTCAAGCTCCATCCAAGTTGCTGTCAAGGCCATTATTTCATTCTGTTTTATGGCTCAGCGGCATTCCATGGTATATCCACATTTTCTTTACCCATTAACTGATGGGCATTGAGGCTGGTTCCACATTTTTACAATTGCAAATTGTGCTGCTATCAACATGCATGTGCATGTGCACTTAAGCCTAGGCAACAAGAGCAAAACTCCTTCTCACACACACACACACACACAAAAACCACGCACAAAAAAATAGAACAGTTTACCGATTGATGCCAGTAGTGATTAAGAGCACTTTAGCTTCTGCAACTTTCAAAGTACGTTCATGTTGTTTTCATGTAGCCTTTACTAAAATGGCTACTAGCAATATCACCATGACAACTCAGTTTATACAATTAGCAAAGTGGTAACTTAGCAGCCATTTGAACAGCAAACAACCATCACTAGTCTCTTCTTGGTTACAAGAAGCCTCATTTCAGTTGTAAATATACACTCTGTTAATTCTGAATGAAAGTCTTTTTTTTGGGGGGGTGCACTGCAGGTGTATATATTTATAGGATATATAAAATTATTTGATACAGGCCTAGAATGTGTACTAATCACATCAGGGTAAATGGAGAATCCATCATACCTCAAGCATGTATCCTTTTATTTATTATTATTATTATTTTAAAAAATAATTCAATTATACTCTTTTAGAACTGTAAAATGTGCAATTCAACTGTTGTCACATTGTTGCACAATCAACTACTAGATGTTTATTCTAACAAAATGTGTGCACCTATTAACCATTACACCTTACTCCTCCGATTCCCCATATCACATTTACCAGCTCCTGCTAACAATTCTACTCTATATCTTCATGAGTTAAATTGCTTTAATTTTTAGGTCCCACAAATAAGTGAGAATATGTGAATCTTGTCTTTCTGTGTCTGGCCTATTTCACTTAACATTTCCATCCATGCTGTTGCAAACAACAGGATCTCATTCTCTTTTATGGTTGAATAGTGCTCCATTGTGTATATGAACCATTTTCTTTAGCCACTCATCTGTTGATGAACACCTGCAATGCTTCCAAATCTTGGCTGTTGTGAATAGTGCTGCAATATACATGAGAGTGCAGGTATCTCCCTGATACACTGATTTCCTTTCTTTTGGGTATATACCCAGCAGTGGGATTGCTGGATCATATGATGGCTCTATTTTTAATTCTGAGGACCTCCAAACTCTTCTCCATAGTGGTCGTATTTAAATTACATTCCCTCTAACAGTGAATGAGGGTTACCTTTTCTTTATAACCTCGCAAGCATTTGTTATTGCCTGTCTTTAGAATAAAAGCCATTTTAAGTGGGGTGAGATGATCTCTTGTTGTAATTTTGATTTGCATTTCTCTGAAGATCAAAGATATTGATGTTGAGTATCTTTTTTCATTTACCTGTTTGCCATTGGTATGCCTTCCTTGTTTTTTTGAGATAGAGTCTTAGTCTGTCGCCAGACACCAGGCTAGAGTAGAGTGGAACGATCTCAGCTCACTGTAACCTCTGCTTCCCGGGTTCAAGCAATTCTCCTGCCTCAGCCTCCCGAGTATCTGGGACTACAGGTGCTCACCACCAACCCAGTGAATTTTTTAATGTTTTAGTAGTGAGAAGGTTTCACCATGTTGGCCAGGATGGTTTCAATCTCTTGACCTCATGACTCCTAAAGTGTTGGGATTACAGGCGTGAGCCACAATGCTTGGCCTGGCAAGCTTTTCTTAAGGAGTTTTCAAACAGCTGTCACTTTGTCACTCAGGTTGTAGTGCAGTGGGACAATCACAGCTCACTGTAGCCTTGACCTCGCAGGCTCAGGTAATTTTCACACCTAAGCCTCCTAAACAGTTGAAATTATAGGTGCATGCCACCAAGCCTGTCTAATGTGTCCTCTTTTGAGAAATGCCTATTCAGATATTTTGTCCATTTTAAAAATCAGATCGTTAGATGTTTTTCTTCTATGGAGTTGAGCTCTTTAAATATTCTGGTAATTAATCCCTTGTCAGATAGTTTTCAAAACCTTCCCCCACTCTGTGGGTTGTCTCTTCACTTTGTTGACTGTTTCCTTTGCTGTGCACAAGCTTTTTAACTTGATGTGACCTAATTTGCCCATTTTTGTTTTGGTTGCCTGTGCTTATAAAACACTATGCAAGAAATATTTGCCCAGTCCAATATCTGGAGAATTTTCCCAATGTCTTATTTTAGTTTCGTATTTGGGGTCTTAGATTTAAATCTTTAAAAAATTTTAAATAGAGCCATGGCATTGCCCAGGTAGTCTTGAACTCCTGAGCTCAAGTGATTCTGCCACCTTGGCCTCCCAAAGTGCTGGGATTACAGGTGTGAGCCACCACGCCCAGATTTACATCTTTAATCCACTTTGATTTGATTTTTGTATAAGGTGAGAAATAGAGGCCTAGTTTCATTCTTCTGCATATGGATATCCAGTTTACCCAGCACCACGTATTGATGAGACCATCATTACCCCACTGCACGTGCTCCGCACCTTCGTAGAAAATGAGTTTACTGAAGATGTATGAATCGGTTTCTGGGTTTTCTACTCTGTTGCATTGCTCTATGTGACTGTATTTAAACATAGTGCCATGCTGTTCTGGTTACCATAGCTGTAGAGAATAATTTGAAATCAGATAATGTAATTCATCCAGATTTGCTTGGTTCTTGCTCAGGACAGCTTTAAATATTGAGTCTCTTATAGTTGCCTAAAAATTTTAGGATTCATTTTTTATTTCTATTTCTGTGAAGAATGTCACTGGTTTTTGCAGGCTTGTGGTGGTACGACATTGGTGGTCTAAGATCAGACCTGGAGGAATTCTCTAGATTAGTGGACAGAGACTCACTTCTTCCCTTACTTTCACACGAATGAAGTCTGTCTCTCTGTGCTAGGCTGCCTGGAGCTGGGAGAGGAGCAATACAAGCACCCCTGTGGCCACAACATCTGGGACAGCACTAGGTCTGTCCAGACGGCACTAGGCCTGAAGCCAGCACAGCACTGTGACTGCCCAAGTCCCACTGTAACAACTACCCACTGCCACCTACGTCACTCAAGGCTCCAGGGCTCTACAATTAGCAGGTAGTGAAGCCAGCCAGGCCTCTGTCCTTCCCTTAAGTGCAATAAATTCCCATGGTCCTTGGGTGAGTTCAGAGATGCTGTCTGGGAGCCAGGGGTGGAGTCATAAACCTTAGATATCTACCGGTGTTCTGTTCTACGATGGCTGAGCTGGCACTGAGTCTACCAGGCAAATCCCTTCCCACTCTTCCCTCCCTTTTCCCCAGGCACAGTGGTCTGTCCCCAGGTACAACATCATTGTAGTCCCATGGGGATTAGTGCAAGGTCACCACTGATGTTCACTTAATTCCCAAGGGCTCTCAGTCAGCTTGTGGTAAGTGCTGCCTGCCCTGGAACTCACTCTTCAGGGCAGTGGGCTCTCCTCTGGCCCAGGTAGGTCCAGAGATGCCATCGAAGGGCCAAGGCCTGGATCAGGGACTCCTACAGCTCACTTGGTGCTCTTCTCACTGTAGTTGAGCTGGTATCAAAGCTCAAGAAAAATCTTCTTCACTCTTCCCTCAGCATTTATCAAGCAGAGGGAGTCTCTCCTCTTAGCCACCACAGCTGGGAATGTGCTGGGGCACACCAGAAGCCAACACACCTCTCAGTCTCACTCCAGGCCCATGGCATGTATCATCTGGTCACCATTGATGATTCTTCCAGGCCCAAGGGCTCTTTCATCAGAAAGTGAGGAATCCTGCCATTACTGAGTCCTTCCTTTTAAGGTAGCAGGTTCCCTTCTGGCCCAGAGTTTGTCTAGAGATGTTATCCTGAAGCTAGGACCTGAAATGGAGGGGTCTCAGGACTCTGACCAGTGCCCTCTCCTGCTGTGGCTGAGCTAGTATCCAAGTTACAAGACAAAGTCCTCTTTCCTCCCCTCAAGTGGAAAAAACGGATCTTTGTCAGAGCTGCGAGCTGCACTGTCTAGGGATGGAGGAGGGGTGGACAAGCACTGCCTAGCTGCCCCAGCTGCTGTCTCTCTGGGTCACATGTCCCCAAACACACTGGCTCCAAGTGCAGCACAGCACTCGGACTTGCCTAACAGTTGCAGTCCTTGTGACCTAGACAGCCTTTCAGTTTATTAAGGACCACAGAGTATTTTATCCCACAGCAGCCAGGCTTTCACAACTCAAGTCCAACCACAGGGATGAACAATTCCCCTCTGGCTGGGGCTAGTCTCAATGTTTTCTCTGTGGGTGGCCATTGGGTGAGTTCAGCCTTGTTTTACTTTCTGCTATGACAAAGCAGCACTGAGTTCAGGCAAAGCCCCACAGCTGCTGTGCTCTCCCTCCCCCAAGCATGTAGCTTCTCTCCTTGTAGGAGAGAGGTTCACAGTGGTGGCATCGACAATTCAAGGCTGTCTTTTCTATGCTGCTCAGTGTCTCTTTCAGTGATATGAAGTTAAAACCATATAGTATGATCATTTTGTGATATTGTGCTGGCCTAGAGCCAGAACCAGAGCAAAACTATTTT